ACTCTTACACCGGCGTAAGAATATCTTGTCCCATATATATATATATATATATATATATATATATATATATATATATATATATATATATATATATATATATAGAGGGGGGATATTTTGACTACCAAAAGTGTCCACTACCACCTTACTACCTATCTAATCACCATTGGATTAACATTTTCTCTCTCTTCAAAAACTTTTTAACAATCTCTCTCTTTGATCCAATGGTGATTTGATAGGTAGTAAGGTGGTAGTGGACACTTTTGGTAGTCAAAATATCCCCCCTCATATATATATATATATGGGAGGCTTATATTTACAACTTTTTTAATTTATAAACTCTTATAAACTACACTATATATACTCCCGGAAGTACACTAGGTTACGTTGCGTTGCAAAGACTCAAAAAAGGTTCAAAGGTTACGTTGCGTTGCAGTTTGAGTTCCAACTATTAGATTTTTTAGATTACGATTTTATTGAGTTTAATATAAATATTTGGGATACCTTCTGTTTCTTTGCAAAATTGTTGGGTATTATAAGTTTAGCTTTATTTTTTTTTGTTAAATTATTGAATACTAAATATAATATATACATTGGATTAAACTCAATGTTGATGCTACTGTGCAGCCTATCTCCGAGTTGGCTACATGTGGGGGCCTATTCAGAGATGAGGTAGGCAACTGGAGATCTGGTTTCCTCTATAAGGTGGGTATTTGCTCCCCTTTAATTGCTGAACTTTGGGCAATCTTAATGGGTATCAGGGTAGCCTGGACTAAGAGAGTGTCTCAACTGTTAGTTGAAAGTGACTGTCTTTTAGCTATCCAAGCTATAAATGGTAACACAGCCATTAATGGAACCTCACAGATTGTGGACAGCATTAGAAGCTGGAGTAACAAGGATTGGAATGTTATTTTCTTGCATGTCACTAGGGACAACAATGTTTGTGCAGATACTCTTGCTAAGCTAGCTTCTTCTGCGAATGAGAATTTTATTCTTTTGGATGACGCTCCCTGTGAGCTGAGTCAGAACCTGGATGCGGAATCCACTTTGATGTAATTTCTTTTGGGCTCTAGCCCCTTTGTTTTATTAAAAAAAAAAATATATAATATACACTACATAAATTAAAAATATTATATAATATCAAAACGTGTCCTAACGTGTCAAAATTTAACATTTTTTTAGAATTAACGTGTCGGAATGTCCTCTCTGTGAATATTGTTTTTGTTCATTTCAACAACCAACATATTGTGTTTCATTTCATATCTATAAATATGAGATATAAGATTCACCAAGGTTGCCAAACAAACATGGCTTTCAACAAGGTTGGGGTTATTCTTCTTGTCTTCTTCTGCGGTATTCTTCTTGAGCCCAACAACTCACTTTTTTTTATCTAGCAAAACTAGGAATGAAATGAAGAAATTAACAATTTTTATAATATGATATTGTTTTGGTTATGATGGATGGATGCAGGTGCAATTATGTTGGGAGCCAATAATATGAAAAGTGTGGATGGTAAATTTTGCCCAATGACATGCTATGTGGCAGGATACATGACTTGTCCATCCACAGGTGATCAGCATCTCCTTCCAACATGCAACTGCTGCTTGGCAGCAAGTGGATGTACCATTTACTATGAAAACGGAACTCCTATTTGCACTGCTCCTTGATCATAAACAAATTACCTATGAATTTCAATAACTTGTAATTGCAAGATCTCCCTTAAATTAACTAAATTTGCCTTTCTTTAATTAGTTTTTCTCCTCTATCTTTTTTTTTCTTTTTCTTTTTTCAATTGATAATAAAGAGCCTATGCTACAGAATATAAGTCATATAACAAACTATATATATATCACCACATCCAAACATAAAACCTTAATTGGCAAACAAAACAACTATGATCAAAGTTTTAAATTGTGGTTGCTCGTGTTTATCTTAGACAGTCTTAAAAGCTTATAAAGAAGGGAGATATGAGGTTGTTCTTGTTTATCTTGTGCAACATATAAGATTAGAATGATCATATGCTTCAAGCAACAGATAAACGAGTCCCTTGGAAATTTGAAATCAGCAAGGGATATTAGAGAAGCAGTACTGAATTTAATTCTTGATAAGAAAATGTGCTTCTCTTTTCTCACGTCACATGAGATAACATCTCTATGCCATAGATACAACAAGTGGTGGAGCCCATCACCTTTTATAATAAAAAAAAGCACGGATTTTGATGTCTCTCTATGAGAAAGTTATCTCTTATTGCATGAGAAAATAATTTTCCTAATAACATTCACCTGAAGTAAATCCTCAAAAACAGGCAACCAAAAAAAACTTGACAACTCTATTTTTCCATATTTGACAGCCACCTCCAGTGCTCCAACCAAAATATCCCATACAGAAATGTAAAAATATTAAATTATTCAATTTCTGTCCATTAAGTAGGGACTTTAAATCAAAGCTAGATGACCAAAAGAATGTACTTGAAATTTAGAATGAGTAATAAAAGATAAATATTAAATGATGTCAATTAAGCTTGACTAATTAACAAAGCACCAGCCTTGGAAATTAAAAGCCTAAATATATATTCATCACTACTATCAGATGAACCCCAAAAACATTAAAGAAAAAAAAAACCTCTAATTACAGATATATATACTAATGGATAGGGGTGTTCATCAACCGATTCAAACCGTGAAAACCGAACCGAAAAATCGATAACCGAATAAACCAAAAACCGAAAAATCAAAAACAAAAAAAAAAAACTGCAAAATTTAATTGGATTGGATCGATTTTCGGATGGGTTGATGAAAACCGATCCAATCCAAACCGATTCAATATATTAATTTTCCTCTACCTACTTGGTCATTTCCCCAATCATAGCCCAAAAATTTTTAAACCCAAGACTCATTAACTCATCAACTAAACCCAAGAAAAAAACCTAGTCACATTTCATCAACAAAATATAATGTGTAGAGCTTCATATCTCATTGCCAAAAAAAATCACACTATAGTATCGTTTACTAATACTTTTGTATTTCAAACAAAAAAAACTACAAAGCCAATATATACAAAAATGTTATTTGCACAATAATCATGAAACTAATTTTAGGATATGCAAAAAATCGAAAACCGATCCAATCCAAACCGAAAAAAATTGGATTGGATCGGATCGAATGGATGATTACATGATCAAAACGAAGGGATTGGATCGGATGAGTTTTGCTTCCAAAATCGATCCAATCCAGACCGCGAATACCCCTACTAATGGAGGACAGGAATAAAGTAAGAGAGGCTTCCAATAGTTACACAACTAAATATTGAAAGGAATATACCCGAACTAATTCGATAAATTTGTGACAATAACAAAGCAGAATACACGTAGCTGATGTATTGTCCTGGAGTAATCACAATTGATTGTCATGACCGATGAGGTAAATATAAGGGAAAAGTTCATTAATGCCCCAGTCGTTTGCTCAGAATCACCTATATTCGTGTGGGTTTTTTTATCATATATGTTTATGTGGTAAATATAAGGGAAAAGTTCATTACTGCCCCTTCCAGATTTACTTCTTTCATCATCATATCGAGCTGTAATTTTTTTTAGCATGTTCATGGCATCTTAAGTCTTAGGATACGCAAAAAACCAAAAACCGATCCAATCCAAACCGAAAAAAATTAGATTGGATCGGATCGAATTTGAAAAAAAATCCAAATCGAATGGATAATTACATGATCAAAACGAAGGGATTGGATCGGATGAGTTTTGCTTCCAAAACCGATCCAATCCAGACCGCGAACACCCCTACTAATGGAGGACAGGAATAAAGTAGGAGAGGCTTCCCATAGTTACAAAACTAAATATTGAAAGGAATATACCCGAACTAATTCAATAAATTTGTGACAATAACAAAGCAGAATACACGTAGCTGATGTATTGTCCTGGAGTAATCACAATTGATTGTCATGACCGATGAGGTAAATATAAGGGAAAAGTTCATTAATGCCCCAGTCGTTTGCTTAGAATCACCTATATTCCTGTGAGTTTTTTTATCATATGTTTATGTGGTAAATATAAAGGAAAAGTTCATTACTGCCCCTTCCAGATTTACTTCTTTCATCATCATATGGAGCTGTAATTTTTTTTAGCATGTTCATGACATCTTTAAGTCTTAATTGGTGGATTCGTTGAACGAAGTGCATACAATTGGCAAGCTCAAACTTTGAGAGATGTTTCATTACATTAGTATCCAAAGTTTTATTGTTAGGATTTCTGATTGGAGCTTCCAGGAGGGTTTTTTGCAACTAAGAACATAGAACAAGGAACGTTAGTGTTCATGTCCTATTTTGGTAGTGAGATTCAAAGAGAAATATCTCTTTGATCAGTCATTGGATCATCCTCATATTTAGGATCATCCTCATATTTAGTCATAGCGTTCCTCTTTTATGGTTTAATAATCTAAATGTTGGGATTTTTTATTGGATTTTTCTAGTGGTAGAAAATAATTTCAAATAAAACCTGCATTTGTTTGCACACCTCTAATCTTCTGATACAACTCGTGTTCAAGTTGTTTATTAATGCTGTAGTAATTTGAGAATTTGTGATCTCATTATATTTTATAGTGAAAAATTTGAATGGACTCCATAACCGGAATCCGTGATATTTACTCCTTACATTAAGGAGGTTTTCCACCTAAAAATTAATGTCGCTTTGAATTGGTTCTTGCATGGCTATTGTTGGACCAATGGTTTTGCTTGGGATTAACCATTCATAAAGTTTGTAGAAAGGGAAATTTGTGACATTTTTCCCAACATTGAAAACTATACCTCATAGCCGTAGGTCAGAGCCAAGATATACGCAACAAAGGCTTCCTCCACACAGTCAGCATTAGCGTTATCAAGCCATCGTGATCAAGCAAGACCTACGAGACAGCAATGCAGTGCCCAGATCATTTTATGAAACGGGAAAACATATTACATTGACAGTGTGGGAGGACCGAAAATTTTCTCCACCCAAACGAATTAGTAATGGATTTAATGAAACAAGAAAAAGTTCAACACCAGTTCACCACAGATTACAAACACAAAAACAGCTACGTTCTACTAGAACGGCAGCCTAAAGAGGCAGGTTCTCACTCAATGAATCGAACGTGTCATGTATGTTCGATGCCTACTTTCCCCAGAACAAATAATGCTATTTAATATAAGAACAAGGAATAAGACATTTTTAGCGGCAGAATAACTTCTGTTCTGATTGTGGGGGAACTGTGAACCTAGCTCAATATTACCTCTTGACGTTTACCAAAATAACAAAAAAAAACCCACAATATTAGTTCCTAGGTTCTTCATCTATGCCATTTCCAGGCTTCTACTCAGCCCCTCGAGATATTACATACATTTGCCATGAATTCCACTACCGAATTCCACTACCAGATCCTAAGTCGCCCATGTTCAAGCAACGATGCCCTTCCACTAGCTAAAGTATACCAAAACAACCTTTAACATATATAAACCTTGGGTGGTCGGCAGGAACTAACCAAAATTCTAATCCACACTTTGATATAAGCCATCATCCTGACCTATCATTCCTTCTTCATCAGGAATCATCCCTTCCTCCTCTTCTCCATTGTAGAAAGAATGAGATCCACCATTCCTTCCATCACCCAAAGATCCTGCCTGCTCTTTCTTAGGACTATTGTTAGACCGACCACCACCGGGAGAGGATGGTGAGCTTAGGTGAGGCTGCCGTTGAGTTGAAGGGGATGACTGACCTTGTACCATCATTGTTCGATGAAAACTGTAAACTGGGGAACGTTCACGAACTGCTGGGGCCCTCTCCTGTCTGTAAGGGCTAGGACTGCGGCTTCGGTCCCTATTAATGTTCTTGTTGCGATCACTATCCCGTCCAATGCGTTCCATCATTGCTTTGTGAAAGCTGACTTGGGAATTCTGTGGCGGTGCAGCCCTGTCAGGACTACGACTGCGATCACGGTTAATGTTTTTGTAGCGATCACTCCAACTAGATCCCCTGTCAGGGCTTCGACCACGATCATTCCTATGACCACAAGACAACAAATATTTGTGATCACTACTTGAAAACACTAGAACAGCATTACAAAACCAAAATCCTCTAGTATGAAAAGGCTACAAAGAAACAATAATTTTTGAAAAAGGAAAATATAACTAATAATAAACTAAACTAACCTCTGAGAGTCATAGTCAAACCCACGGTCTCCACCTCTGCCAGAAGCAGCAGTCCCCCGCCCACCCCTTCCACCATAATTTGAATCACTACCTCTTCCACCATATCCTGCATCACTACCCCTTCCACCAAATCCAGAGTCACCACGTCCCCCACGGCCACCAGAACCCCATCTTCTGGGTCTGCTCATCCCACCACCCCGCAATGACATTTCACGAAGTTCTGGAGGGACCCGCTGGTTTGCACCTTCCAAGACTTTGATGAGATCTGAAGCATATTTAGCATCCTGGTCCCCAAAGAAAGTATAAGCTAAACCAGTGGCTCCAGCCCTCCCAGTCCTTCCAATCCTGTGAACATAATCTTCCACTCCTGTAGGGAAGTCATAGTTGACAACCACCCTGCCAAATAGTTGTGGTCATTTTCAAATGTGATGGTCACTTTTCCAAGACAAAAGTTCACCCAGTAAACAGATTACTTCAGTGCGTACAGTACACACCAATTCCCTCATTAACTAACATATAGGGCTTATAAGAGAAAAAAAATTAAAGTATTTATATGGGAAAAGTATTTCTCCGGGAGACAAAGTTATCTCCAGTGAACTCAAAACGACGTCGTTTTGGGATTATAAGATTAAAAAATTATAATAATAAAGACTAATATAACCCTGCAATATATATTAGAATTACAAAAAATCCTTGATTTCCGCGCCAAAACGACGTCGTTTTGGCTCACAAAAGATAACTTATCTCCATTGACCGGAGAAATCCTTTACCCTATATATATATATATATATATATATATGGGTATTATTTTTCTCATATTACATGAGAGAAATCATCTATGCACACACAAAGTGCAATGTGGGTCCCACTATTGCACTTTGTGTGTGCATGAGAGGATTTCTGTCTCACGCAACATGAGAAAAATAATACCTTATATATATATAGGATTCATTTTTTCTAAACCGTCATTTTAGGATAGAAATCATAGTGTGTTTGTAATTTTAATTTATTTCAGGGTTATAACAATATTTATCTTTCTAATTTTTTAATCTTTCAACCAAAAACTACGTCGTTTCGGTGAACATTAGACAAATTTGTTTAAAATAACTTCAGAAACTTTATTCTCATATATATATATATATATATATATATATATATATATATATATATAAAATAAAACACAAATAGTTAACAACCTAATGTCTTTGATGTCCAGTCCTCGGGCTGCAACATCTGTGGCTACAAGCACAGGAGACCTCCCAGTTCGAAACTGGTTCAACACGTGATCCCTCTCAGCCTGGGATTTATCCCCATGAATAGCAGCAGCTCCAAATTGGCGTGTAAGATTCCGGGCAAGTTGATCACACATTTTCTTGGTAGAACAAAAAATAATTATCTTTGATCCTTGATCTTGTGACCGCAAAATATGTTCTAGACGTTTGTGTTTCTCCATTGATGCTAATATTTCCACATGCTGTTACAGTAACATTAAAACACAGATTAATCATTCAGTTAATAGCAATCCCCTAACATCAATACACAGTCTAAAGAAAACATAGCATTCGAATGAAAAGGAGGGCTAATGATATAAGCTAAAAAGGCATTGCACCCAAATGAACCAGTAATAGATATCTAACCTGCGTAATGGACTTGTTAGCAACAAGTTCATCTACATTGCCAATGTTCACCTGGACAGGATTGATCAGCAGATCAGCTGCAATTTTCCTAACCTCCTTAGGCCATGTTGCAGTAAACATGAGAGTTTGCCTGCGAGTAGGCACCTCATTCACAATCTTCCTAATTTGAGGTTCAAAACCCATGTCTAGCATCCTGTCAGCCTCGTCAAGCACAAGGTAAGAGATCTGATGAAGACTTATTCTCCTCATCTCAAGAATATCATTCAAGCGACCAGGGGTGGCTACCACAATATCTGCTCCACGGTCAATGTCTCTCAATTGAGGACCCTTTGGTGCTCCTCCATATAAACACTAGTAAAAGGAAAAATAAATAAATAGCAAGAAGCTCAGCAAGGGACACTACATGCCTGTTTGGCATGTCTTATTTTGAGCTTCTCTTCTCCTTAAAAACAGAAGCTTAGCCAAACATGTTTTTATAAAAGCTCTTATTATAGAAAGAGCTTTTTATAATAACGAAGAAAAAAAAGCTAAAAGCTCCCAAATGTATGCCAGCTTTTTTCACTCCTTATATTTATTTTACACTTTTCCCCTTATTATAAACTTGTATTTATGAATTTTATCTTTTACCCTAATAATTCATTCTAGTAATAAATTATTTTATCTTCCCTCTTTAAAACTATCGGAACAACTTTATATAATCACCAAACAGTTTTTAGCTTTATTATTTTAAGCTCTTTTTTTAACTTTAGCTTAAAAGTAGCTTTTAGCTTAAAAAAGCGGTGCCAAACAGCCTCTAAGCTAATTAAAAAAGAGAGGTGTCAAATAGGCTCTAAGCTACTGCCATTTTTTCTCTAGCTCAGTTAACTCAAGGAGTAAGCCCACAAGTAATATATATATATATGTGTACACCCACATAGAATATCTCTATATAAAAAGAAATAACATAATACAAGTTGGCAGAACATAATAGGAGAGACAAATACATAAGGAACCTATTACCACATCCAATCCAATGAAGAATGAGTTTAAGCAATGTGTTTAACATTCTAAATTTTGTAGGAGTGCAACAATAATTTTCCATGGAGTCCATGCTGATGCATGAAAGCAAGACAAAAAATTAACAAGTTGATAACAAAAAATGAGAAAAGTTACTTACCACACAAGAAATTCTCGATGATTTCCCAAACTTCACAGCTTCATCTTGTATCTGTGTTGCCAACTCCCTTGTTGGTGAAAGTACCAATACACTGGGGCCCAATTTGGAGTTATTACCACAGCGCTTGAGGTGAATAAAAGCTGGGATTAAATACCCCAAGGTTTTCCCTGAACCTGTTTTAGCAATGGCAACTATATCTTTACTTTGAAGAGCAATGGGCCATGACTGTGCCTGAATAGGAGTTGGGGCTGAGAACCCAGCATTTTGTACCTATAAAAAGGAAAATCCAGGAGATTGGTTTTCTTTGGGACTTATAGAGAGTTTGGTAATGCCGGAAGAAGCATCATCCCTCATATGCAAGCCACCAAAGTTTGCTGATGCAAGGTAGCGCATGAGGAGGCTTCTTCTTCCGTACAGACCAAGTGGCAGACTGAATCATGACCAACAGCAGTCCCAGCCACGAACTTGGATGATTCGGAAAGCCCTTCCAAAAACTTGGTCCACCATAAAGGGCGCTCCAAAGTCAAACTAAATGCTAGCCCCACAAATGAGGGCACCAAAGCGTACGACATTAGCTCCTCCCCAGGAGCAAATATCGCACCTACGACAAAAAGTAAAGATGGCAAAAAAATTATCATGAGCCTGAAACTTAGAAATTCGAGCTTCAGGAATCAGAATTTTGCAAACGAAACACTTGAGTCAGATACAAACGAAAATTGTGTATCCTAACTACCACTACTGAAGTAAGACAAGAAAAGGGAATGGAACCTGATACCTCTTTAAGAATCTCAGATGGAAGGCCAGTAGACCCAAATGATGTAAGAGGTGGAGGCACATTATCTCCCTAGGAAAAATATGAAAATAACTCAATAAAGTCATGTAATTGGAGAAAAAATTAAAAGCAGGAGTAGCATCCAATAATGAGGACACATTTTTAAATATCTTATTAAAAGATATAATGAAGGAATTTGTGTCACTAAAGTATAGAGTAAGAATAACAACAGATGCATATACACAGTTCATACTTCATAGTGACATAGTATGTGATATAATTATTTTCAACAGAAAAGACAATATATATACTCACAGAAACACTTATTTCATGCCGACGTCGATAAGACTCTGGAGATACTCCTGCATCTGATGACCCATTACCTCTGATAGAAGAACTAACATTTCCAGCAAAATGCATGTCATTTGGAACATTATGAGAACTACTACTTCCACCTTTAGAACTCTAATACAAAATGAATAAGTAAAATAAGTCAGGCAGACAAACTAAAATTGACAGAAATGCACAGCTGATTTTCAAACACCGCCTTCTTTTTCTTTTCTAACAAAATGAGGTGATCATTTCCTTCATATATGTTTTAGTTCAATAAAGACAAGCTTCATCCATGGTTATCAATCTCGGCTGGCCCACCCCAAAACCGCTATAGCAGGATAGGGTGTAACAGCACTTCCATTACAGTGAAGTCCATGTTATGTGATTAATTAGAGAATGAATACAAAACCATTGTGTGATTATGACCATTATTTAATTCTTGTTATGATTATACTACCCAAAACTCTGAAAGAAACAAGATAAGTAATTGATTTAAATAAATAAAAAATTACTGGATTAAAGGCTCCAAAATTTGTCTACTACTATTTGATGCATTTAATATTCCCATTACTTACATACCACCCTTAATAGTAATAGCCCTCCATAATAAATCAGATAATTATCAAAAATTAAACAAATTCATCATTGATAAGGATAACACTGTAACAGCATCAGTTATTTAAAATCAATTCAAAATATACTAAAAAAATATTGCTACCAAACTACAACCAATTTGTAAAGCATTTCGTGCAACTACAAATCCAAAAATTCCACATGTGCCACATGTTAAACGTCAGGTGTCAACATGTTAAAATACAAATAAAAAAGTCGAGCATAAACCTGATGGTTCCGTGATCCAGCTTCATTTGACCCACCAATGCCATTTCTATCATACCTATCATTCAAATCAGGACTGCGACCACGTTGCTGCCCTTGAGATGATTGTTGAACATGGACAGAAGAACTAGGCACTGAAGATGACTTTGGCGGGGCAGCTGAGCTCGAAGGCCTCTCATACTGGGTGACATTAGTCTCCGGATTCCAAAAGTAAAGATACCCAGTCTTGCCATCCACAAGACCCCGCCATGGTTTAGGGAGTGTTGGGTCCGCGGGAGCATATCGGGGACCCACCGAAGACGCAGTTGCTGTGGCAGCCATAGGAAGGTAACCAGCAATAAAATTCTAACATCACCAAAAATACGAACATTGCAAATCAGTAAAAACCTACCCAAAAAATTTAAAAACTAAATGCTAGGAATCAACATTCACAATTAAGACACAAAAAAGACCGAAAGTACAAGACAGCTATTATATTTAATCTGTCAGTGAACCACGTTTATCAAAATCTACATCCTCAAATTAACACATTTGATTTGATGATGTTGATAATAACAACTTAACATCCATTATCACCAAAATCAAGCATTCGTCCACAAACCTAGAAATGAAAAATCCCAGCAAATCTAAGCAAGCAACAAGCTCAAACGTTTTCCCAGCATGCTACAAAACCCCAATCCAAACCATTTACAACAACAAATTATCACCGGGAATCAAATATTATCCTAAAAAAACAGTAATCATTTAAAAAAATAAAAACTAAAAAGCTGGACATTATCCATACAGCGTATTCAGAAACCCCAAATCCAAATAATTGCATGCAGCACAAACCCCTTTCCGAAAAAGAAGACCTAGATTCAACCAAACCACAAACCCACATCACGGTGGGGATAGCAGTTCTCATGCACAATAAACCCTAATATTTCACATTTCAGATCTGGATTATTACGAAATGGCACAAGTACTGCATGAAATCAACATAGAAAAAACAAAAACAAAAAAAAACAGAAAGAAAAAAAAAAAAAAAAAAAAACAAATCGAATCTTATTGTACCTGTTTAGGAGCGAGAAGTGACCGTAGCGTGCTAGGTTGATGTTTCTCTCTCTAGGATTAGTATCGAGTTCGCTGCGTTTGGATTTGGTGTAGCAAACCCCTTACCCTACGGCACGCTTGAAATGGAAGGGAAAATAGGTAGAAGATGAAACGATGAATGGTTATTTATAGGAATCAAAGATAAAATGAGAGAGTTTTGAAAAAGCGAATGTGACCATGGTTAGTTGTTAGAATTTTGACCATGGTTAAGTGTCATAAGGCCAAGTTTGTATGTATTTGGTTGGGGTGTTGGGTCCACTTTCAAGAAAAAATCTAACCTGGTCAAGTCAATCACGCTCGAGTTGGCTTAACGTTGTTGTATTCACCCGACCCAATTTAAACTTAACCAAATTATGATCGCATTTAAATAGTTTTATTAAAAACAAATTATTATCGACTAAAAAAATTAAGGCCAATTATATACGGATAGAATATTATATTTATCTTTTTCTTCATACTTTATCTATTTTTTTTAATATTACTAAATTATAATCTCATCTAACATTCATTTTTTCTCTCTCTTTTTTAAATTGTGATCTAATAGTATAAAAGAGAAGAAAATAAAAAATTATGAAAAAAAATAAACATAATATTTTATCGCACCATACATTACCCTTTGCAATTAGGTAATTTTTTTTATTAAACCACCTTATATTTTTAATTGTTACAATTAATTTAATTTCCTTGTACTATATGATTTTATCAATTAAATATATTTGTCAATATTTCCTTGAAGTATAATTATTCTCTATTTATGTTTACAGTCTTATATAAGGATTTGGTTTATGTGAAAAATGAATGATAAAAAATCAGTGAAATTCACCTACTTTCTAGAATTCATAATTTAATCTTTCGATATTTTTGTCTTCATTTCTTTTTTCTTTTTTCTTTCCCCTTATTTTATATATATATAAAATTAATTAATTTCTCTAACGTATTGGGCTGGTATGAGAAACATCAATAAATTATCTCAGACTGATTTATCGCTTAACTAAATTTATTGTCCAGAAGTCACTAGATTTGATCTAATGGTAAAAAATTTGAGTAATTTGTATTAGATTATGTATTTAATTCACTTGTATCAAAAAAAAAAAATTGTTGTCCTGAAAATTAGCCACAATAAAAATAAAAAAAATACAAGCTAATTCAAACACTAAAAGATGTTTTTTATTAAATTAAAAAACTATTAAATTGCATCCCAGGAGATGCTAGCTGTGGCCATGCTGTATTAAAAAGCTCTGTTACTTTCACATAGGCATTTGCTCTTCCTTTAATTTGGAGTTCTGCAGCATTATAATTGCTTTGGAGCTGGCTTTGATTTGCTGATTTAGAAGACTACAAGATGCAGTCATCCTAGTAGATTATTTTCAAGAATGTTTTAATGTGTCATAAATGACACTTCCAAAATCTCAAATTATTAGATTATGACAACATATAAATGGTACTATTTAATAAAACTTAATATTATGTCATGAACAAATAATAATTCTCTTTTATATCTCCATCACAATGGAGAAAAAAAAAAAAACAATGGGAGACTCGGCTTGTGCAAATAGAAGGCAGCACTTGTGTTGTTATTGTGCATAGGATATTCTAACTCCTCTTGGAGAGTTAGCTAGGTTTTTTCATGCTTTTTTTTTTTTTTTAATAAACCAGAAGTATTCTTCACGGGAAACAATCTTATTCGAGCAAGTCTAAGATTAAGACTTTAAATCTCTCTCAAAAATGATACTAAAAAAGATCAAACATATACTCTCACCATCACCTGAGTATTTCCATGCATCAACTGAGCTACCATCATTTGATAGTAATTCCATACTCCTAATTATTTCCTTGTGTGTTTCTTTTTCTTGTGCCCATGTTTTCATCCAAAAAAAGATCATATTTAATAATATGAAAATTAAAAAAACACAATACACAAGTAAAATAACTAGTTATTAACTAATTCTAAGTGAGCAATCAACATCAACTTTATACCAATAGTAGGCAACAACAATTAGCAATGTTTAGAAAACAATTTTATTAGAAAATAGTTACCTTTCCACGGCAACAAAATTGAGGTGAGAAGCATCTGTCTCTAAAGTTCCAAGTTATATGAGATTTCTTTAGACAAGTTCATCGATATTTTGCCATTATACATTTTACCAAGTCTAGAATCCGACAGTAATCATAAAAGAGGGAGGAGTGTTCGCCCTCCAATCCATCCCTGCTGACCCTGTTGCTACCAGCCAAGTTATTACATGGACTTCCACCAACAATGAGATCAAAACCCCCAAACGAGTTCATCAGCTGCTCCAAACGATCCCCATTTAGCTGCCGTACATCGTCCAGATCAATTAAGTTACCTTTCTGATTTGTTTGCTCCCACCAACTTCTAACAATATTCCTATTCACTTCTGATTTTTCAACTGACACAACATTCTTAAGAGGGATGCCAAGCCGATGAAGGGCTACTTCTGCACCACCGATTCCAGAAAAGAGAGAAAGAAGATTGATACCATTAGGATACATGTCCTTCAGAACTGACAGGTGGTATGCCACTGTGTCAACCTGAAATCAACTGAACCTATAAGGGAAACGAAATGTATATGGAAACTTAAGCATAAATCACTGGGTATTTTTTTTTTCAGCAAATAACCCTAATTAATTAAAATAATCAGAATTCATTGAAAAACTTAGAAACAAGAAAATAAATATTCGAACTGCAAATATTCCTGATAATTTGACAACATTATCCAGAAGACAACAACAACCAAAGCCTTTTTTCACCAAATGTTGCCATTGTGTTCTGTCAAAAACCAATTCCTTGCGCAGGCTATTTCCATCTAAATCATTTTTAATGGTTTCACTCAGTTTTTCTTGGTCTTCCTCTACCACAAATTATTCTGGATATGAATAAAAATTATTTAAACCATTATAAGAGAGTTCAAAGGAGTATTACATTTCTCTATGACCATAAATACATCCTGGAGGATCTTGATGGAGGCTTTCTTTTTATAGAAAAAAAAATATAAAGAGAATATTTATCATACCTGGAATGAATTGCCAAGTGATTTATATCTGTCAGTCCTACTTATTCCGCCTCCTCTTGTGTGATTCCTTGGGAAGCCCAAAAGTGTTTCTACTTCATCAGGCTCTAGTGGAGCAACCTTATTCCTTCCCACCCAAACCAGATTCCATTTCCGACATTCTTCAAGAACATACTTTTGGACACTCTCAGGAGGATCTCCATCATAGTTTTCTACAGCTTTCCTAATTCTTTCTGTTAGTTTTGCACTGCCAGTAACCGTTTGCAAACAATTAAGTTTGGTCCTAGAATCCCATGAGGGCCACCACTTCCTTGTTAGGGGAAATGCATCATGTATTGTGCGCGGCGGAAGTGGTAGAAGAGGGAATCTATTTTCGATGGGGAGATTGTGAACATAGCCCCTTTTCCTGGCCGCAGCACAGAAATACTTTGAATCCACAAATTCAGGTTCAACATCATTCAAGAATCTTGAAATTGTTTGCCAAACACCTTTTGGTGCAAGTGCTACATTCTCATAGTAGAAATAAGGAGGTCCGATGGCATCTTCAGGAAGTGTTCTGTGTGTTATGAATGTTGTTGACTCAGTAGGAACCCCAAACCCTACCATTGGGTTTGGAAGATGAAGTACCTCCTCATCATCTTCACCGAGTATTCTCTTCTCACATCCCTTTGGCTTTTTCCTTCCCAGCACTTCATAATCATAAAATCTTCGCTTTTTTGGCTTATCATGGTTACTGTAATCCGGCTGTGAAAATGTAGTTTAAAATTACTTACAAATGTTAGATGAATGAAAAAAAAAAAAAAAAGGTAACATGGAAGATAGATCATCATGATTTTAAGGAAAAAAGATAAGAGAAAATTATATGCATTAAATTTCTATTTTATTCATTTCAAGATGCTACCTTATCTACAGGAGGTAGAAGGGCATCTTCTGCCTTTGCCATTTGAGCAACAGCTATAAAATCTACCAATTCTTCAAGTGAGGAGTTCGGACCTGCAGCAGTATTTCATTAGAACAATGAGACCCAAATAAAAAAAATAAAAAAAAACAACTCCCCGTTAAACCCGACTAGCAAGTGTGCGGTAGAGGCAATCCTTGTACGCAGTCTTATCCCTGCATAATTGCAAAAAGGCTATTTCCTGGATTCAAACCCATGACCTTTTTTCAGTCACGAAAGAACAGCTTTATCACTGCTCCGGTTCTCCCCCTTAACAATGAGACCCAAATCTTAAAGGAAATTGGGATGTCGGGTACAAATGGCAGCCACCCGCACATAGTCTCATTCACAGTTGGTGCGGAGACGAAAAAAATAAAAGATAAATAAGATCATAAATGCATAATTTATGTGATTCACTGAAAAACAGGCAATGTCCATGGGAGAGATCAAAAGACAAGTCCCATCACAGTTGGTGCAGAGATGACAAACAAAAAAAAGATGAATAAGATCATAAATGCATAATTTACGTTATTCATCCTAAAACGGGCTATGTCGGCGGGATACATCAAAATCCACTTTAACTGACTTAAGATTGAATAATTGTGTGTCTAATACGAGCACACAGGGAATATATTTATATTGACAAGAATAGAAACTAATCTATCATATACAATATGTGGGACTATTCTATTATATACACAGTACTACTTTAACATACTATTCTAACACTCCCCCTCAAGTTGGTGCGTATATATTGTGTGCACCCAGCTTGTTACAAACAGTGTTGTAAAAACGTAGTGTTGAACCGTAAAAACGGACCGTCTCTACGTTTTTATGACCAAAATCGAGTCAAAACGGTAGTTGAAACGGGTTTTGAGTCGAAAAGGTTCAAACATAGTGTCGAAACGTAGAAACGGTTGACTCGGCGAGTTTTTCGAGTTGACTCAGTTTTTAAAAAAAACACAGTTAGATCTGACAAAGAGGGGAGAAAGAGAAGCAAAGACGAAGAAGAAGGAGAAGAAGAGCTTCATCGCCAACACCTTCACCATTGTTGGTTGTTACTCCAACCCAAACCAAAACACCAAAGAAGAAGAGCAGTTCAAGTTGTAGTTGCAGAAAGAAAAATTGATGACATTTCTTCTTGTTTCAATGCTTTCTTTTCTCTTCTACTCTCGCTTTAGTTTTAGCACTAAACAGCTCTTGATGCAAAGCATTTAAACATATCCACAGTTAAGAAGGGAGGGGGGAGAGAGAGAGCAACGTCAGTGTTAATAAACGGGAAGAGGAAGAGACTCACTGCCACACTCATGCTTGTATATTATTATAATCAATGCTTTAAGTAATTAATAAATCCATGAATAATATAAAAATATATATAATATGAATTTTTTTTGCATATTCAAAAATATATATATATATATATATATATAACACGTAATAATAAAAAAAATTATATATATTTTTAGTCATTAATTAGCTTAAATTTAATAACTTACATAATTAATACATTAAAATCATTCTATATAAATTAAAACAAAGATTAAAATTAACATTCTTATAAAATAAACATGTTTGTGAGTTTTGGTTTTATATATGTTGGATATATATTTTATATTTAATACGTTAGTAAACTCTTACGTTTCATTTACGTTTTGCGATTTTACGTTTTTGCTCATCCCTACCATTTTTACATAGACTCTACGTTTTAACAACTTTGGTTACAAATGTATTCAACCTGAGGACCTCTAAGAGCTTTAGTGAAGACATCCGCGAGTTGATCCTTGGAGTTGACAAATGTCGTTTTGGTTTCTCCTGACTGAATCTTTTCTCGAATGAAGTGGCAATCAATCTCTACATGCTTGGTTCTCTCATGAAATATAGGATTAGATGATATATGTAACCCAACTTGATTGTCATAAATGAATGTCATGGGTTGTTTTTGTTCACAAAGATGGAGCTCCCGAATCAATTGCTTTAACCAAATTAGTTCACAGGTGGCAGCTCCCATTACACGATACTCGGCCTCTGCACTGGATCGGGCGACAACAGTTTTTTTCTTACTCTTCCAAGAAATCAGGTTTCCTTCAAAGAAGATACAATAACCAGAAGTAGAGCGTCTATCCGAGGGTGATCCTGGCCAATCGACATCTGAATAATCACAAATTTTTGTATGTCCCTGGTCTAAATATAATAAGCCTTTCCCTGGTGCTCTTTTAATGTAGTGGATAATCCTCATAGCAGCATCCCAATGAGAATCACAAAAAGAGTATAGGAACTGACTAACCACACTAACAGCAAAAGAGATATTCGGCCTAATCACAGTGAGATAATTAAGTTTCCCAATCAACTTCCGATAACGTCCAGGATCAGATAATGACTCCCTCTGACCGATCAATAATTTGATATTAGGATCCACGGGTGTATCAAATGGTTTACACCCCAACATACCAGTCTCCTCTAAAATATCTAAGGCATATTTCCTTTGACAGATGGAAATGCCATGTCTAGACTGTGTCACCTCAATCCCTAAAAAGTAACGAAGCTTACCAAGATCCTTTGTCTGAAATTGACTAAACAAATATTACTTTAATTGGTCAATCCCAGCTTGATCACTTCCAGTTAGAATGATGTCATCGAAATAGAATAACAGATAGATGCACTTATCAGGAGATGTGCACCTATAAAACACTAAATGATAAACCTCACTGCATATTAAGCCAAAAGCCTGAACGGCAGAATTGAAACGGCTGAACCATGCAAGAGGAGACTGCTTGAGGCAATATAAGGACTTACAAAGTCTACACACCATCCCAGACTCCGCCTGAACAACAAAGCCAGGCGATTGCTCCATGTAAACCTCTTCCTGTAAATAACCATGAAGAAAAGTATTTTTAATGTCCAGTTGAAGGAGTGGCCAGTAACGAACAGCAGCGAGGGCAATAAACATGTAGACAGACGCCACTTTAGCAATAGGAGATAACGTGTCACTATAATCAAGGCTAAAAATTGTAGTAAAGCCCTTGGCGACTAAACGCGCCTTAAGACAATCAACATCAGGTCCAACCTTGAAAGTAAAGATCCACCAACAACTAACAATATAGACTTCCCCGTAGGAGCAGGAACAAGATCACAAGTGCCATTGAAATGAAAAGCGGCCATCTCATCAAGCATCGCTTGGTGCCACCCTGGATGGGAAAGTGCTTCACATGTGGTCTTCTGAAGAGAAACAAAAGAAAGATCAGAAACAAAGGTGAAATGAGGAATAGAAAGACGATCATAGCTCAAAAAGGTATAAAGAGGATAAAGGTTACGGGTAGTACGTATACCTTTTCTTTGGGCAATGGGAAGAGCCTCTAGTGAGAGTCGACAAGAGAAGGCGATGAATCATCCAGGGTCAAGTCCGCAGGAGGCATAAGCTGACGATCCTGATAGGTGAGAAAAGGGTGATCCTTGGGGATGGAGGTAAGAAGTCGTTCCTCTGAGATAGAGTCACCTGCAGCGGGTAAAGACAAGTCAAGAAAAAGAATAGGAAGAACCTGATCAACCCGTGACAACTAAGATGGGATAAAACGAAAGGGTTGTTGATCAAGAAAAGTGACACAGTGGAAACAATATAACGCTTAAGATCAGGAGAATAATAACGATAACCCTTTTGAAGACAAGAATAACCAAGAAAAATACACTTAAAGGCTTTGGATGTTAACTTATCCTTACCAAGGGTGATATCATGAACAAACAGGTACAACCCAAGACATGCGGGGATAGAGGATAGAGAGGAGCATCTGGAAACAATAGGTTATGGGGAATGTCATTAAGCACAGAGGAAGGTATGCGGCTGATGAGAAAACAAAAGACGATTACTGCATCTGCCCAGAAGTGAAGAGGAACATGCATGTGAATAAGAAGAGTCCAGACAGTTTCAATGAGATGTCTGTTTTTACGTTCGGCCACCCCATTTTGTTGTGGAGTATGAAGACAAGTGGTCTGGTGTAAAGTACCTTGTATGGCCAAGAAATTAGAAAAGTCATAATAAACATATTCCTTATCATTATCACTACGTAAAATACAAATAGAGGCACCAAATTGAGTATGAACCTCGGCAGAAAACTTTTATAAATGGAGAATAACTCGGAACGATTTTTCATTAAATAAATCCAGGTGCAACGGGAATAATCATCAATAAAAGTAACAAAATACCGAAAACCTAAAATGAACAAAGTATGACTTGGACCCCAAATATTTGAACGAATAAGAGAAAAAAGAGCATTAGCTCGTTTATTTACTCGACTGGCAAAAGAAAAGCGTGTGTGCTTCCCTTGCTGACACGACAGACAATCTAAAGACCGAAGACTAGATAAAAGACGAACCCTCTTCTGCAACTTTCAAAGACTTGGATGGCTGAGGTGACTGTGGATAAGTTGTGGAGATTCTGTAAGACAGCATGCCACTGAAGGACGAGGCACAACCAGATAGTAAAGAACCCATGACTCATGACCCACTCCAATTGTCTTTCCCGCACCCGGATCCTGCACAGAAACAGAATGGTTAGAGAAGGTAATAATGCAAGTAAGGAAGTGGATCAATTTACTAATAGAAATCAAGTTATAAAAAATGTCAGGAATGTAATAGACAAATGTCAAGGTCAAAGAAGAGGTCGGACGAGCTTGTCCAATCCCACGAACAGGGGCTTTAGTACCCTCAGCAAGGGTATAGGAAGGTAATGATCAGAGTAAGTAAGAGATCTGAAGAGTTCCTTATTACCACAAAGGTGATCGGTAGCACCTGAGTCGAATATCTAATAACCAAGTGATGTAGAATGAGAAACACAAGCAACAGAATTACCACTATCTGGAGCAGAAGGGTGAAACTGAGGATAAGCTTTCATGAGAAGAGTCTGGAGTGTTGCATAGTCTACAGGAGAGAGAGACTGAACCAGATGAAGTAGTATCTGACTGAGCTATATTCGCAGCATAAGAGGGTCGCAAGTGAGAAAACTTCGTGTAACAACGCTCCTCATAATGACCAAGTTGCTGACAATAACTACAACGAGGTCTCTGAACACGTCTGCCCTGGCCCCGACCACGACCGTTGTTCCCGTGAGAGTCAGTACGGGAAACAAGAGCAGTGGAATCAACAACAGAAGATGAATCAGGCGCAGGCACTAGTTTCTTGTTAAGATTCAAAAGGCGTTGGTAAGTCGGTGATAAATCAGGATCCCCACTAGTCAACATAATGTCACGGACACTATCATACTCCTCGGGAAGACCAAAAAGAGTGGCAACCATAAATAGGCGCTCCACTTGTTTCCTATATGCAAAAGCATCAGTAGGGTAAGGCAACATATCCAAGTACGCCTGCATCAAAGATCGACTTTTACCAACATATGTCTCCATCTGAATGTCAGATGATTTGCGCAAATCCATGAATTGAGAAATGATAGAAAAAAGCTGTTGAACATTATTAGTATAGAGGTTTTTAGCTTCCTCCTACACTTTCATAGCATGTCTGAAAAGAATCGAAAATGTCCAGAATGATTGGATCAATAAACTGTCAAAGAATACTCAGAAGCTGGTTGTCAATCCTTTCCCAATCAGATTTTTCTTCTTTAGGAATAGCATTAGATTGAATTGTGAGATGTCATCCATGCCCCTGTCCAAAGAACCAGACGCGAACAGAGGTGGCTCAATTCTTGTAGTTAACAGAAACCATCAGTTTGGAGGAGGTAATGGGTCCAACATTAGTCAAAATGATACCCGAGGAACTTTTGGCGGGAGGAGGAGAATTGACCTCCGAGTGAACAGGAGATGATGCTGCCATTATGAATGCAATAAAAACTTGCAGAACAAAGCAAGTAGAATCAAACCAATAGCCAAACAAAAAGAAACAAGCGCCAAACAAGAGTCCCCTGAAGAACCAAGAGCAGATCTTGAAGGAGACAAAACCGAGCAGTTATGTCCTGGAACAACCAAAAAAAGACACTGGAACAGTATTTTTGGCTATGAACAGTAACTCCGGCGACGTGAACAGTGCTTCTGACAGTTGCAAGCCAGGGGGACGCACGGCAAGGAAGGAGAGAACACCTAAGCATTGGGCTTGGGGTTTTGGCACACCTAAGCAGTGGGCTTAGGGTTTTAGCGGAAGCTAAAGTTCCTGGAACAAAGAGCTCTTATACCAACTTAAGATTGAATAATTGTGTGTCTAATACGAGCACACAGGGAATATATTTATATTACCAAGTACATAAACTAATATATCATATACAAGATGTGGGACTATTCTATTATATACAGTACTACTTTAACATACTATTCTAACAAATTGTATGAGAGATTTGAGAATTACAAGGACAAACCACACTTCATCATACAGATATTACGCAAATTTATTTGGTGTTGAGTGTTGACCCAGTTAATTTGATTCAAATATTATTTGGGAATAATAACAAAATTTATGATTATATACCTTAGCACAAACTTGAACAATATTCTGAAACAGTGGCACTTTAGAGATGATTATATAACGCAATATAGTAGGTAGAAGTTGAACAAGGATGCCGTCAAAATAAGGCAGAGTCATATAACCCAACCATTCTGATTCTTCCCATTTAGAAAAATAAAATTTTATTTCTTGGGAGATCCAGCATTTCAAACAAGGATATGTTTGCTCTTCAAGAATCTGGATACTTAACTAAAGCATATTACATAAAACGAGACAAGCTTCAAGATGACAATGTTTATTCTTCATTCTTCAAACACTCACATTTCATTTGAAACTACCAGTGTTCACAAGTATCATTAATGGAAAATAGTTTGACATGTCTAAACCCTACACAGGGAACTAATATGAACTACTCAACCAGAAAAGGCTTTCAAGGAAAGCATTTTACTTGCGTGACAAATCCTTGTCTTAGAATGCATTTAAAATATCAAACAGCTGACAATAAAAAAAATCCAACCCTTAAACCTCATAAAAAACCAAATAAACTAAAAAAAAGAATAGAAAATAATAATGCAGTAAGTCTTCTTTTTTTATTTGTCTTATTGTTCAGGTTGCCCAAGGGGCACAAATGAAGGTACTGGAAATCAAATGAAGACAGTGAATCATACAGCAAGCAACAATAATAAAATCAAAAAGGGCTGGCATTTTTGCAAAATAACAAGCTAACAATTTACATCAAACATAAGAATGAATCATGTAAAACGCACCTAATCTTTCTATGGCAACTAAAGCCTCCTCCTTCTTGTACCCCATTCTCACCAAGGACATTAAGGTAGCATCATTCTCAGAAACAGATTTTGTAATTTCCTGCCAAAAAACCAATAAGCAAACCATAATTAAAATACATAATCTGCAAGTAAAGTGTTTCCTTGCATAAGCAGTTCCAGACCTCCCATAAATGCATGTCAAAGCTAATGAAGCACTACGAAGACAAGTTCATTTTTCCGTGAAGTACGTTAAAGAGAAACTTTACAACCTGCATGTTTGGATTAGCTTATTTTGTGGGGAAAAAGCTTTAGTTTCCATGAACAGCTTTTGAAAATATGCGCCCCCACAAAAAAAGAAAAAAAAACGTTACTCAAACATAAACCTACTCAGTTACCCAAAAAGAAACATAAAACATAATATTTTATCTCATATATGAAATTGATCATATGTGAAATAACTGTATATCCTATAGCAGAAACTATCCAAGTAGATGACCCTAAAGTCACAAAATAGCATGATAATAAGATGAATCAAATCATACAAGCTCTCGAAACAAAACATTAAAGCACAAAGAGCAAGATTACTTCATCATCAGAAAAAGTATCAGTATCTGAGAAATCATCCGAAGTGCACCCTGCATGCTCTGAAAAACAGGGATCTGGTTCATTTTGCTGTTGTGGCTGAGGAGAACCTTCTAGAGCCTGCAAATATGAAAACAAAAAATACCAAGATAATTGTAACATTAACAATTAAAATGTAAAATATGCAAATGTTGGAAAAAAGGAAAAGAAAATTGTCAGTAAGATTTAAAGCACCAAAACGAAAGAGGTGAAGGAGGAAAGAAGGTAACTAGTGATAAACCATAGAATATATTGTGCCAAAAAAACAGGAAATGCATGTATCGTGCACATACAGGCAGGTAATATTGGCTATTTGTTTAAAACTTCCATGAACCTACAACTCTTGTGATGGTATTCTTGTATATGAATTATTAACATTGATTTTACAACAAGCTCAAACATCACTCATTGAGGTTGGTAAAATATTATTGCCATTGTATTAAGATCATATTTATATAAGTATAGAATTCATTGTTCCGGTACCAAAATTTCCTTATTGCCATATTAGGGTGATTAAGCTGCTCATTCAAGTATTTAACCACAACTTACATATTAGGCAACTCAAGACATAAATTAGTAGAAGTAAAATTGTAGTCATTTACAGAGTTTCTTGATGATGCAATCTCATTACTCTTTTTAGAAGAAATTTTGTGTTAAAGGGAATACAGAAGGTTTAGAAAATAAATTCCCCTCCATAAGGAAGCAAAAAACAAAGGAAAACAAAGATGCTTAATAATCCAATAAAGCTCTTCAGTCCCTGCATAGTAGTTTAGGGGAACTTCCTTAAAGAGTCGATGGCATGAGCACTAGAAGCCATAAAAACAGCCCCAATGTCCATGGCCATGACAGACACAAAGATAGCAAAGGTAACTTTAAATAGAAATTAACTCCAAACCTTAATAACTAGAAGCTTTAATATAATTTTTTTCTTCAAGTGGATGTTAATACTTCAAAAATGTTAAATGAAAATATCAAAAGATTAAAATAAGAAATATCAAGAGGAAGTGTCATGGTGTATGCTTTTTGCAAACGATATTGTCCTTATTGATGAGACCGAGGCCGGTGTTAATAGAAAACTTGAATTGTGGAGAAGCACGTTGGAGTCTAAAGAATTCATGTCAAGCCGGAGCAAGACGAAGTAAGATATGAAGTGAGTTTTCTCTGGTAAGGGATAGAGATCGAGATCTTGTGCAGCTGCTTGTACAAAAGGTACTCAAGAAAGATACTTTTAGATATAAGGGATCAATTTTGCAAAAAGGTGGAGAGATTGATGAGGATGTAAGCCATAGAATCAAAGCAGGATGGATGAAATAGCGAGCACATATGGGTTTTTGTGTGACCGAAAAATTCTCCTTAAGTTAAAAGGAAAATTCTATAGAACAGGAGTAAGCCCTGCAATGTTATATAGAGCTGAATGTTGGCCAACACATAGGCAACATGAGCATAAAATGTGATTAGCGAAAATGAGAATGTTAAGGTGAATGTGTGGTTATACGAGGATGGATAAGATGAGAAATGATATTCGAAGGAAGGTAGGAGTAGTATCGGTGGCTGAAAAGATGAGAGAGCATAGATTAAGGTGGTTTGGGCAAATAATGAAAAGGCCCCTAGATACTCCCGTGAGAACAAAAGTTTGTTACCAAGATCTCGACACAAAGAGAGGTAGAGGCAAACCGAAACTTATTTGGGGAAAGATAGTTAAACAAGACTTAATGGAGTGGGATATAGATTGGTGGACGGTGTGTCTTAGGACAGAATGGAGAAAAGCTATAAGCATGATGGAGGGCTAAACCCGTTGTTATTCCTATGTTCCAGATGACCCTTTTTTAGTTAGGGGTGTCAACGGGCCAAGCTTTGGTTTTAAGAGGCTAAGCCTGTATTTAAATGTGTCAGCCTGACCAAGCCTGTTACCTGTTATGAATATAATTATCGGCCTGTGGCCTGGCTTATTTACAAAGAAAAAAAAAAAAAAAGCCGGGTTTAGCCTGTTAGACTGTTTAAAAAAATAAGACCATAGAAATTTATCCAAATAGAAAATACAATCAACAGCACTGTTAATTCCATAAATATTCATAAATTCAATGTATATCCAACCAGCATAATATAGAACAAAATCATTCAAAAAGTCTTTTTAACCAATAAAATGGGGCGAAATGGATTGAGGAGGGAGAGGGGGTTACTACAAGCAATATAAAAAATATAAAATAAAAATAAAAATTAATATATTAGGCCAGCCTGAAAGGCTATAAGGCCGAGCTTTTCAATTGGAGCCTAAGGCCTTTTTATTAAACGAGCTTTTATACAAGTCCAGGTATGGTTCCAACAACCAATTTTAGACATGTAAGCTCATGCTTTCACGAGCCGAGCCAAAGGCCCTTGGTTCGTTTAGCACCCCTATTTTTAGTCCTTGTCCTCTTCATCTCCCTCCCTCTATTTTTTTCTTCTTTTTTTGTATTTCTTTTCCCCTTTCCCATCTTTTTTCTCTTACTTATTTATTTTTATGTTTTTCTTTTTCTTTTTTTCCTATACCCCTTTTATTTTATTCTTTTTTATTTCTTACTTTCCTATCCTTTTTATCCTCCTATATATCTATATATTTTAGTTTATTTTAATATACCTTCCCTTTTAATTGTTTCATGCTTTCTATATATATATATATATATATATATATATATATATATACTCTTAAATTGTATTTTTATCTTTTCTCCAATCTCTTTGTACCTTTCATTTGGGTTCATCTACCACCGATTTGTTTGGGATAAAGGTGTTGTTTGGGATAAAGGAAATCGGTTTAGATACATAAGAATTTCAAAAAGCAATTTTTTCCAAGACAAGTTTAAAGAATGAATTCATTATTATCACTTATTTCATATCAATATAATTTAAGCTGGAAACTATTTTTATACTCAAAGAATTTTATTTCATTTCATGAATTAAAATGTCATGGAAAATTAATGGATATCTACTATAAACGTGTAAAATTGTGAACATATTTGTAGTTCACTATGCTACAACTCAGGTGTGTCCTGAATCCTATGACCAAGGTTGGACTTTATAGCCAACAAAATTAACAATTGCCATAGAAAACCAGAAATTATCTGCAATTAATTTATATAGTTTGGTACATGCTGGTAACAAACAAAGATACAAATAGATACCAACTCCACAACAAAGAACTGTTGCTTAGATTTAAGAAAGATGAGGTGAGACAACTATAGCAGAGTGAGGATAATAGATATTTGGTGTAACTGAAAAACATTAGTTTCAAAAGACAAGATCACAATGCTGTCAATCAAGACTTGGAAAATATCGACTCACCGAGTACGTGAGAAGTTCTTCAAGTAATTTATCTTCGTTTTCCTCACCTGGATGTTCATCAGAGCAATATTATTCACGAGCCTTATGAATCAAAATCTATACTTAAATGGATTATAGCAGTGCTTTTACCGTATTCCTGAATTACTTTGGAAACCATTTCGCTAGGAAATCCCATAGCAACAAAGTGGTCAAGTACCTTGGAATTAGATGAGCTTGCCTAAATGGAGAAAAAATAATTAGATATTAGTAGCAAATAAAAATCTCCATTTCAATTGAACAGTCCTATTTCTAAAGCATGTTTCTCGATGTTGAATGTGAATTGGGTTTAAAATACTTTCATGGATAGATAAGCTAATTGGAAAAACCATAAGATTTAGCGACATTAGTAAAGCATAATAAATGCATCTGAAAAGAATCTTACATATTTTGCAGTGTTGAATAAAATACAGGAAGTCACAGTACCAAAAGAAAAATAACAGCAGGTGAGTATATCAATATACAGCTTATATTAGCATATTCCACTGTAGCCAAAAAATATTGAACCAGATATATTAAGAAGATTACCCAAAATGAGAAAATAAGTCCATATAACAGCAATAGAAAAGAAGGAAGAAGAACTAGCTACTCTGAATAAGCAACATAAAAATTCCACAAAATCTAAATAGAAAATACACATTATGTAGATAAAACTAATTTTGTATGGTCCCAACTCAACTCTAAGGCTCTTATTTCGGTATTGGCCTGCAAGGTCAGTTGATCATTTTGGTTTGTCATGGTTAGTTGGTTACCTATCACTCATAACAAATTACACCAGCAATATGGAATGTGATTAGGCCAAAGTAAATTATAATTGTGCTAGCTTTCATCTTAGAAGACAACTGTACTTGCGAAAGACAATGTATTTGCACTATCTTTAACTTTCAGGAAATTGGTCCCCTACTTTTTTAATATTCAACTGCTCACAAAGATAACCTCAGACGAAAAGGAAAATGCCTAAAAGCTTACCACTCCAGCCCCAGTAGTAGCCTCTCCATTAGGAACGGTTAAACATGCAGATGAAGGCTGAAAGTTCTCAATTTCAAGCTCATCTTCAGTGTTCCAGTCAAAATTGTCACTCTCCACGCCAGAATCATCCACAACCTGCAATGAATGTTATACATCAGAAAAAGAAGCAAAAGCTAAGTAGCAAAAAGAAAAATATGAAATAATTATGAAAAAGGAAGAGAGAAGAAAAGGTTTTTAGGACCACATCGCCAGTCCCCCAAAGCACATGACACTTGTACTAGAAAATGAGGACCCATAAAGCACCAAAATAAACTCATACGTGGTTGTGATTTTGAAATTGACAAAGTAATACATACCATATTCGAATTCTCAGCTTCGCAAAATACAGAACTTCACACTGCCCAAGCACAGAAGCAAGAAAATTAGCATCCGATAAAGCTAATTACGGTTAGGAGTAATAGTCAAGTCAAGCAATTCAACTGGCTTCATAGACTCAATTCAATAAAAATCGATTGGGCTAGAGTAGTATTCAAAACATATAAATCTTCAACTTGGTAACTCATGAATAACTATATGATGATTAAAAATTACAATTCTATCCACATTATTGGTTTAACATTTAAGTTGTAACAAACCAAATCAAAACATGCTTTGAGTTGAAGCCACTAGGAGTGGGCTAGTGGTGAGGGATTTGGGCGTAATTTGCATGACGCTATAGATTCAAACCACAGCACCATCATTGTATCCAAAAACAAGCTTTTAGATGAATTTATTAGATCAATTTTGCTGAAAGGATGAGTAATGTATATCCAATTATTCACAGATCCAATTAACCTCTGCATGGAACCATTGGATATCTAATTACCCAAAAATTCAGCTCATCTCAACAAGAAATCTCTCCGGTTATCTCTACATCGTGCTGGCTGACCTGCCTTCACCATTGTGACTGTGTTTAAATCATCACCAACACCATCTTTATTCCAAACTAATTAACCCAAATAATGGAAAAAACAAATTGAGGAAAAATTAATATAAATATCAACATCAACATCAACATCAACAACACATTTATCCCAAACTAGTTGGGTCGGTGGTAGATAAACCCAAATGAAAAGTACGAAAAGCTTAAGAAAAAAGATAAGCATAAAACTAAAAAAAAATGATTTGCCCTTGTATTTTTACAAAAAAAAAAAAAAAAAAGATATTTCACATATTAGCTTGTCAGGATAGGGGTGAAGGTCGATTATACTAGCTTTACCCTTATATTTTTACAAAAAAAAATTATTTCACATACTCAACTGGTGACCTTCCGGTCACAAGATGCAACCTTACCACTTCTCTAAGATTTGCCCTAAAAAGTAAATATGAAAAATTAAAAAACAAAACAAAAATCTATAAACCCTAAAAACAGATGTTGCCAGTTTCCCTCAAGCAAAACACACAAACTACAATCTAAAAAGCACACCAAACCCCACCCCACCACCAAAAAAATAAAAATAAAAATAAATAAATAAATAACAAAATTCTTCAATGAGTAAACATCATATAATTTCAAATAACAACATCCATGTCTCATTTAACATAATTAGTTCATCTCATGTATCATTTAACATGATTAGGTCATATGAGAAGATCTCAGCAGTTAAAAATTCCCACCTCCGGGAAATGAAAATGCAGCAGCTGCAAACCCTCCGATAAAACCGAGAATGCACTTTCCCCTCTACACAAAACACAAAATTTTCAACTCAACTCAAATTCACGCACTTACACTAACTCAAAAAATTATTAAAAAAAAAAAAGAAAAAGAAAAAAAAAACGCTTACGAAATTTCGCAAGGGGAAAGCGACGAAAGCGAGAATTTTGAAGTCCGCAGACGCAGACTGAGTCAGTGCCAACAACAGAGAACATCTAACTGCAAATCTTTATGTACTCGCGCACTTCATTAGTAATTGAAGTTCCACTGTTTCATTCTTGTTTCGTTCAAACTATGATCCAACAAATCACAACCGTAGAATTGTGACAGCTTTATATACAAATGATTTTAGGTAAATAATTTATATCAAATCTTAACCGTTGATTTTTCTCGTGACTTCACTTTTGTTCAAAGGCCATGTGATTGAAATACTAGGGCACGTGATGGTTCAGAGAACAAGATGCGTGTCAGGTTGAGTAAATGAAAAAGGAATCTCTTCTTTACATTTAATGGTTCGGATGGGAGAGTATCCTTTGATATCATACTCGAGAGATTGAGACTGGTGAGAGAGAAATTCTTTTTTATTTTTTATTTTTAATTGATATAAAGTGAGAGAGCAAATCCTATTACAAAAATAAAAAATAATTTTTTTTCAAAAACATTATACTTACCATTCATTTTTATTTATAATCTTTTACAATTTATTTTTATTTATAATCTTTTATAAATATATTTTAATAATAAATTTTCATCAATCAATAATTATCATTTATTATGAATTAATAATTAATTAATTAATTTGATTTACAAAAATAATAATTATTAATTGACGAAAATTAACGATTAAATTATAACTGTAAGAAATTATAAACAAAAATAAGTTATAAGTATAATTTTTTTTATATATAAATAATTATTTTATAATTTTAAGATTTTGAGTATTTTTTCTTTTAGGATTTTTTAATGAAATATAATATTATTTCAGATAAATAATATAAAATCACTTTGTGATTAAGTGTTTTGTCCAAAAAATATTCTACTTTTTTAATTAAAACAATTAATCTTATATGGACATATATTATAATAAATATAATTAACAACTTTAAGATAAAAACATCTCTTTTTCAAAATATAATAATAAAAACAAGATATAAATCTATAACGCATGTAAATTATTTAAACTCCTCATCAATACTAATGGCGTAAAATATCTCATTTTCAATACACTGCTGCATGCTTTAACTTCAATTGGAGCATTTGAGCTTTTTTTAATTAGAATGAGACAAACTCTGAATTATTTAATTATGTCAACTCTAATATCAAACTTAGGCCTAAAAGCTTTTCAACATAAAAAAAATAATAATAATAAGAAACACGTGTACGTAACTCGGACACTTTTTATTTTTTTCCTTTGAACTGATACCAAATAACCTTGGGATGGCGAGGCGCGAAGGTGGACTATAACAAAAATGGTAGTGGTTTGAAAATAGATATATTTTCATCTTAAAATTATTAAATATATTAATTATTATAATATTATATTATAAATATGTTTTTTTTATTAGACATTAGTTGTAAAGCTCCAAAAGCATAAATATAAGGAACTTATTTTTAATTCATCATCAACATTATTTTTATTCCAAATTAATTAACCCAATTAATAACAAAAACAAATTGAGGGAAAAAATATATAACTAAAAATAAAAATAAAAATAAAAAATGGGGCAATCCCCATGCTCAAGATACCCACTTATGAAGATAAAGGTGGAGATCGATTGTACATAACTTTATCTTTATATTTTTACAAAAAAATTGTTTCACATACTCAACAGATAATCTTCTAATTATAAGATGCAACCCTATCATTTCTCTAAAATTTGCCCTGTAAATATGAATAAATAGAAAAAAAAAAAAAACTATAAACCATAAAAACATATGCCGTCTTTCCCACTCAAGCAAAACACACAACTACAATCTAAAAAACATGCTAAACCCCCACTCCTAAAAAAACATTCTTTAGCGACTAAGTATCATATAATTTCAAATAACAACATAAGGAAAAAAAAAGAATACATTTACGTCTCGTTTAATATCATTAATTCATTTCATGTATTATTTAATTGATCATGTCACATGAGAAAAACCTCCAAATTTGAATACCACAATAAATCGCTACTTTCAAGTTGAGACTGGACCCAAACACATTATCTATCTCGCTTTATTCCTTCTGCCCAAACCTAAGGCATTACTTCTCCTTATATTCTTTCCTTTTTTTACTTATTTTCTTCACTAATTATATATATATATATACATTCAAAGTCATAAAAATAATATATTTTGTGTTTATTTGTATAATGTTAATATTCAAAGTCATCCTTGTTTATTTAGTATAATAATTTGCGCCATTAAATTGAATAATTGAGAATTTTTCATAATTAAGAAAGATTAATTAGATCATAAATCTAATTATTACAATAAGCTACTCCTAAAGTGGGAACGACATTCGCAGAGTGAGAACAATGTTCAGCAAGTTGTCCCCAAAATAGGAACGTCATAAGTCACTTTTCGGGATAAAAGTACAATAGTTAATATTTTGGGGTAAAAATATAATTATGCAAAAATACCCAAAACTTGAAAATAATATAGTGAGAAACTATTAAATCATTTTGGTAAATGTTAGAATCATGATTAGATGATTAAAACATGAATTAAAAGAGATTTAACATGAAGGCAAAACATGTAATTAGCAAAAAGATATTTGGCCAAAAGTCAAAAGTTAAAAAGTCAAATATAACCACTTACATTAAAGCACATTTAAGACTTAAGCAATCTTCATTTCTTCATCTTCTTCCTTCTTGTTCTTTTGAACTCCATTTCAGAGAAAACTTGAAACCTAATTTGAGTTCTAGTAGATAAAATCCAAAAGTTCCAATACCAAAAGTGCTTAGAATCCTACCAAGAACAAAACTAACCAACTAGTTTACCTTCAGGAGATTGTGTGTGTGTGTGTGTGTGTGTGTGTATTATGCCTAAAAGGGGAGTTTCTTTTCGGAAGTTCTTTACTAAGAGGATCCCACTCTTGTAAAGTATAATATGGACTTCCCTTAGTACTAGAGTAACGTGAATGCAATGCTACGTGGGTAAAACCTGATAAGGGTAGTCCCGTTGGGATTTCTTCTCAAAAGTATCATATGTCCACACAAGATGGAGTCCCTTGTATAAGGCATGCTACGTGGTGTGTTGTATAAGATGATGGTTCCTTATACTTTGTGTGTTGCAAGATGGATTTCCTTGTGTAATACATACTTATATGGGTATTCCGTAGATGGCTGATAGACCAGAGGAATGACCTCACTGAAATTGATATCTCACCTTGTGTGGGGATTATGTTTGAGAATGAAATACATTGGATTGGCATATATTGTATTATATCTATTTTACTGCTTTTACACCTGAAGTGAACTTAGAGACAGACGAATCGTCCAAAGACCCTCAATTTTCTGAGATTGTTATATCACCTGTGTAGGGATCATATCTCAGGTACTGATATCAACGGTATTGGAGCATCACATGGCGAGAGGCCAGGTTAAAGTCTATTTGCATTGCGTGAGATTATAGGACTATCATTAGTGTATATGACATGATTATGTATATTTCTTTTAGAAGAACATGTATAAGGTTTATGTAATGTTAACATTTGAATGACATGGTGTATTGATGTAATGATGTAAATGATTATGTTGATATTCCATTTTGAGATATGAACTGTAATGGATGGCCTAAGCAATGCATTGTAATGCATGATTTGTATGATTCTTGTGGAATTAATGTAAAGTATTGGCATGGAACCTTTTAAGTAAAAATCCATGGATGTATTATAAGATTAAAGCCTTGGAACGACTAAGACCATGTATGAGAATTGTTAAATTGTCAATTAGGTGGTATTAAATTTGGGAAATATTCCTAGCCACCATGGTACAACCAAGTGTTATTAATTTTATTCTCACAAGTGAAGTCGACTTAGAACTTCAATATCTCCTACGTTCCATAACGAAATGGAGCATATTATATACCATTATAAAGCCACAGGAATATAGTTTCTTGTCTCCCAGTTTGAGAATTTTCTGGGCAGTGAAGCGTTCCCAATTTGGTATAGAACTGAAGCTGCCAGAAGGAGTTAAAATGTCAAGATCGAAAAGTTGTTTCACTAGCAGGGGATGAGAGCGTCATTTGTTTGGGAAATGAGAACGTCTTTTGTTCTGGGATGGGAATGTCCCATCATCCCATGTATGGGGGAACAACCCATAGGAACGACATATGGGAACAACCCATGGGAATGAAACACTATAACGTCACATGTATGAGTACATATTACACTTAGCGCAGTAAAATATGCATTATTTAAGCTATAGAGATCCAAATCTAGTGAGATTTGGACATATATGAAGCTAACATATAGGGCTATAACCCTATGAAATCTTAGAGTCATTGGGTGAGAGGATTAATTCCAATTTAATTTTGAGTTCGCTGCCCTATTTTCTTGAAATCTGGTTGAAGCAGTTGGCTTGCGACGAATGTATCTTGAGTTATACGAGTCCAATGGAAGCTTACAATATGTCATTAAAAAGCTCAAGATGTCTAATTTAACATAGTAAAAGATCAGAATTCACAGTGAATATTTGCAGTCTCGATTTTAGAAAATGCCTGGGCTGTTTAGTATTGGTGCAATTCTAAGTATGATTTTCAACATGTTAGTCTATGAGAGCTACATGGTGAATGACTTAGAGTATGATCTATACCTTTAGGGTTATGATATTACTTAATAAGGGATTGTAAAATAAAGATTGACGCTTCCAAGTGATGTAAGAATTATAATTAAAGTATTTAATGGAATTGAATATGAAATTCATTAAGTGTAATAAACAGAAAAGAAAAGGAAAAAGTTTATTCGTGTTTCAAATTAATTACTCTGATTTTAATAGCGCTTAATGTAAAAACCTGCACCGTTAATTAAGGTATTTAATTAATTAATTATGCAAAAATAGGAAATGATTCCATAATTGACTCTAATAATTATTTTTGAGGCTTAATAATCATAATAAGTGGGTTAGAATGCTGAAAGTCGTTTTTCGGAAGAAAAATGCAGATACCGGTTCTGCTAGTCGATATAAATGCATACCAAAAAGTATCCCGAAAAATTAAAGTAAGTGCATGATAATTACTAGAATAATATGTAGGACTTGTAAAACGAGTTTCAAGTCCAAATAATGAGAACTGGTGCT